TTCGGGGTAATCCATATATATTGATCCCATATTTGGTAAAATTGTCCTGTAAGTCGTCCAGAAATATTCGCATCAAGTTGTTTTGCTTGTGGAGGAGCCTTATGATATAAGTCTATGGCCTCCTTTTCCAACAATCAGATGAATTATGAAAGTCAGCATAAGCTTGATCCCAAGACAAAAACACATTAGCTTGTGCACCAGGAAAAGCCGTCAAGGTAATGGAGCATACTAAAGTTGTAAGTAGAAATACCAGCGACAGTGGTGGATTTTCAGTTGTTTTCACTATCTGATTCGCTTGATGAATAAATTGTTGCACTTGGGCTTCGGTCGGCAGAGATCTCTTCTCTTGAAGTCGAAGTCGTTGCAGCTTGTGCACTAGTGTTCTTTTCCGCCTGGCGTACCAGCCTTTCCGGGAGCCAGCGTGGTGTATCGGCATCCTGTGGAAAAACACAAACATGGCCTCTCCCCCACATTAAAACTGGATCAGGACCGGCCCATTGATTAGTGAGCGGGTCTCTCCATCTCACCAAAGGAAGATGAGAGGATTTTGGGTTCCAAAAACGTAGAGCAGCTGAATTGCCATTGATATCATAAGTCAAAAAATTTGAAATAAAAAGGGCATTATGTAAATAGTTTTGTGGAGTAAGGGGATATAATTCCCCCTTCTTTAATTTATGAATCTGATGTTTAAGAGTTTGATGACAACGTTCCACAATTCCTTGCCCTTGAGGATTATAGGCAATTCCAGTTTTATGTTCAATTTTAAGTGTCTGGCAAAAGAAACATCCGGCTAGTATAGCTGGGGCCATTATCAGTTTTGAGTACTCGCGGTTGGCCCATGACAGCAAAGCATTTCAGAAGATGATTAATGCAGTGCTTGTTGGCTTCTCCAGATTGTAAAGTAGCATGAATAAATCCTGAATAAGTATCAATGCTAACATGGACAAACGGAGTATTACGGAATTCTCTAATATGAGTAACATCCATTTGCCAAAGATGGTTAGGTAAAAGTCCCCGAGGATTTACCCCATAGTGTGGGACGGAAACTGTAGTAGGACAGGTAGAACAGGTTTTTACAATTTGACGAGCAGCTTCACGAGGGATTTTAAATTGCAGCCGCAAGCTATGACTATTTTGATGATGAAGCGCATGAGACTTCCTAGCTTCTTCAAGGGCAGGATAAAGCTGAGTAGCGCGATCAACATTAGCATTACCTTCAGAAAGAGGGCCAGGTAAATTAGTGTGTGCTCGGAGATGACCAAAATAGCAAGGATGACGAAGACTGCGAATAATAAGTTGCACGTCAAAAAATAAGCGGTTGACATAGGAATTAACAGTGCCAATAAAGGGAACAGTTTCCAAAATTTGCAAGGCTCGAACGATATATTGACTGTCAGAAAAAAGATTACAGGGTACATGTTGAACTGCTATTAAAGCAGCCTGGACTGCAAGTAATTCTACAACTTGAGCTGAAGTTTGCGACGTCTGCCAAGAAACAGTTTCATCTTTAATAATATAGGCTGCAATACCGTTAGATGACCCATCAGTAAAGACATTAATGGCAGAAGAAAGAGGATAACGAACAGTGTTCTTTGGAAAAAGAAATGGATGCAGTTTTGCAAATTGGATTAACTTATCAGCAGGGTAATGAGTAGTAATACGTCCCGTAAAATGGGCTAGCGACAAAGCCCAAGAATCATTAAATCGTTGTAATTGAGCTTGTTGTTCTCTAGTGTATGGGACTGTAATATAATGAGGATCTCTTCCTAAGTATAAAGTAGAGGCAGAACGTCCTTCTGCAATTAAAGAACAAATTAAATCAGGATAGGCAGCCAAGGCTTTTGAAGGGGACACATGCATATGTATCCAATACATGGGACTATGCTGATAAAGTACTCCAGTTGGCATATGAGGAGTGGGCAAAATAAGTAAACCCCATTCTTGAGTATAATCACAATAGGTACATTGCTGATCTTCAATAGCCTGTTCTACTTCACGTAAAGCTAAGGAAGCTTCAGCAGTTAGTTTCCTAGGAGAACGAGGATTAGTGTCTCCTTTAAGAATGTCAAACAAAGGCTTCAGAGTTCCGGTGGAAAGTTTTAAATAGGGACGAATCCAGTTAATATCGCCCAAAAACTTCTGAAAATCATTTAAAGTTAAGAGGGAATCCGTGCGTAGCTGAATCTTTTGTGTTTGAAAAGTAAAATTATGTAAACGGAATCCCAAATATGCATACGGGCAAAATCGTTGAACTTTTTCATCAGCAATTTGAAGGCCAAAGGCTTTTAAAGAAATCAGCATTTGATCAAATACAGTTAATAAATAGCCTTCTTGAGTATGTGCAATAAAGATATCATCCATATAATGAATTAAATAAACATCTGGATATTTTAAACGAATAGGTTGTAATGCCTTAGCAACGAATTTTTGACACAAGGTAGGGCTATTAGCCATGCCCTGAGGCAAAACTAGCCAATGATATCGTTGCATAGGCTCTTTATAATTTGTAGAAGGAACACTGAATGCAAATCTCTTGCAATCCTCAGGAAATAAAGGAATAGTATAGAAACAATCTTTTAAATCAATAATAATCTTATAAGTTCCATCAGGAATAGCCATAGGAGTAGGCAGACCAGGTTGTAAGGCATCCATTAATTCTAAAGTTTCATTTACTTTACGCAGATCTTGTAACAATCTCCATTTCCCAGACTTTTTCTTAATGATAAATATGGGTGAATTCCAAGGTGAGTTAGAGGGAGCAATATGCCCGCTGTCCAACTGTTCCTGCACCAATTGTTTTCCAGCGGCAGTTTTTTCTTGAGAAAGGGGCCATTGATCGACCCATACAGGTTGATTAGATTTCCATACAATAGGGTCTGCATGAGCCGCAGGACAGTCAAGGGCCCCCATTAAAAATATCCTAAACCTGTCCTATCCTTTTTTCCTTTAAATTGTAAAGGTTGGGTGATTCCTTGATTATGTTTTCCTAAGCCTTGATTTGGATATAGTCCTTGCGATAATAACTGGCGAGAAATCGTGGGGTTAGGACTATATAAAAATACCCCCATATTTGACATAATATCTCTTCTCCATAAATTGACAGGCAAGTTGGGAAGAATATAAGGCTGGAATATTCCAGAATGACCTTCTTCATCTCTCCAGGAAAGAAAAGCAGAGCTTTGCTCTGGATTATGTGATTGCCCAATTCCTTGTAACATAGAAAGAGCAACTTGCTTCGGCCAATTCTCCGGCCACTGAGAAGCGGCAATCACAGAAATATCTGCTCCAGTGTCTAAAATACCTTTAAACTTCCTTCCTTGAATTTCCAAAGTCAGTTCAGGCCTTTGATCACTAATTTGTTGTATCCAATAAACATCAAAAGAACCAAAACCTGCAGTGCCTCTTTTACGTTCAGTTTTAGTTTTTCCCGTAGCAATAGTGGGCAAAAGAATTGAGCAATACGTTGTCCTGCAGGAATGGCTGTTATAGTTTGTGGAGAATGGGCCATTACCTTAATTTCTCCTTCAAAATCAGAATCAATTATTCCAGGAGCAATAAGCAATCCTTTCATGGTTGTGCTACTCCGCCCTAATAATAATCCCACACTGCCGGAGGGCAAAGGCCCATAAATTCCAGTAGGAAGAGCCTGCATTCCCATTTCTGGGGTCAATACTGTGTAGATGGTGGCACAGAGGTCCAGTCCTGCACTCCCTGGGGTTGCTCTATAGAGGTCTGAAATACTTGGTCGGGAAGAAATGGATTGTGGCTGACCTGAGAGGTTTCCTGAATTGCCCCGTAACATTGTTTCGGGGCCTGGGGCTGGCCCCTCACCCAGTTTCCCTGGTTCATAAGTTGTCCATTTATATCAGTTTTAGATCGACAGTCCTTAGCCCAATGTTTTCCTTTTTTTACATTTAGGGCATAAACCTGGACCCATAATTAATGTATTTTGGCCTGTTGGTTGTTGTCCTCATTTAGGACATTGATTTGCTCGGTGTCCCAACTGTCCACAGGCATAGCAACTGCCAGGAGGTCCAGCAACTCTAGAAGTTCCCTGAAAATTTCTTTTAGGACGGTTTTGTTGATATAAAACCTCTTTTACTGTTTTTCCTTGTAAAGCAGCGGCTAAAGCTACTCCTTGAACATAGGAGGGTCCTATGTCAGCACGAA